TATGAAAGCTTTTTGAAATGTAAAATAAAACAATATTAATGTATGCACAGGGTAAATTTGTATAAAACATATTATGCACAACTATTAGTACTCTGAATGGTATCTTTTTCTTACTTTTTGTCTTCTGAGATATATAAGCAAAGCAAAACTTAACGACGATGTACTTAAACATTAATATGTAATCTATTATAAGACAGAACATATGTTTGTTCATAGAAATTCAATGCTGTATTTTGTTTCCTAAATAAAAAACAATGGAGCAGTTTGTAGTCTGGCCACAGAAATTATAATATCTGAGAAAAAGAGACAAATCACCACAGATTCTATGGAGCTTAAGTCTCTTCCCGCAAGAGAGTTTTAGTGTTTAGAAAATCAAGAGGTGTGTGTGTGTGGGGGGGGGGGGGGGTCTTGCGGGTCATTAGTACTACCTAATAAGTTTGTAGATGTAGTACAACCATGAAAGGAAACCATTTCCGTTTCATCATCATCCTTGGGGAACAAAGCTCGGCCTGGTTTAATTGCTGAAGTGTGTATGTTTTAATTGCTAACTTGATACTATTTACCTAGAGAAAAGTTAAGTCCTTCTTAATTGCGAACTACAATAAATGTATTTCAGAAAACTCCATGAAAAAAGTATTTTTAAAACTTTTGCTTTATGCTTTAGAATTGGTGTAATTCTATGCCCCAGTTTGGAGTTGGAAAAATATTCTCTGAATTGACATGCAAATGAACTCACTAAGCAACCACTTTGCTTTAGCGATTTACATAATTTGATACCAAAAGCCACATTAAATTAGTATTAATTACTTGGTTTTTAAATCCAGAAACTTGAGAGTAAAGCTGTTCTTCTACACACATTTCATCCCATCTATGCGTGGAAACAGAAGAAATAAAAAAATATTTAGCTACAAGGATCTGCAGGAAGGGCAAGGATTATTACCTGAAGAAGTGGGGAAAGTAAACCTAATGCATCACTTTAGAGATTAATAACCTTCAAGAATTTTATTAGAAGCCATAATTTCTCAGAATTAATGTAGTACTGTAAACTCTTCTTTATGTGCACATCCGTTCTGTTTCTCATTCCTAATATATTTTCATTTCTAATTATCTCTTCCCTTACCAATCTGTGTAGGAACTTCTGACTGACATTTTATGCCAAAACAAAACTTGCTTGTACTCAAGCAACTAGTCTAAGCAAATAATAGTAATTAGGAAATGTACTTAGAACTAAAATGACATGTTGTTTTATGTGTTATGATTCTATTATAGAAACTATGTTTTTTATGGAAAGTATTCTTTACGGAAAGTATTTTGCATTAAGTAGAAATTTTTAAAAAAAGACAAAAAAATTTGTATTGCCAAATCATTTTCACTGTATGTTTATGGTAGAGTAGAAACTACAAAAATTTAATAAATAATAATATTAAGATAATATATGCATATAATAGTAACCCCCCAAAAATGCTTTCATACAGCATGTAGTTATGTTCCCTGATTAATCATGATAAAAAAAAAACATGATAGTTGCTATAACTTGATAACAACTAAACATTCAAGTCACATCTTTAGTACCAAAGAGGTGGTCCCATTCATCTTTCACACAAAAGATGAACAGTGAGTTGCTATTAACAAATACATTAGTCTAATAATAGACTACATACTCATATTTGTGTGGGAATTGATATGTCTAAATTTTAGAATTTCTTATAAACTTAGAAAGAGAAAAGTAATAGAGACTAAAAGTATACATGTCTGTATATAATAAAGATATTACATGAGTGTATATATATATGTACATATATGTTACACATTATGTGAATACTTAGAGTATTATTTAATTTTCTCTTTCAGAAAACTCATTGAAATTCTGAGTTGACCAAAAATACTATCTCATTGATTACAATAATAAGAGTTTCATTGGTACCAAGGTAATTAAAACACAAAGAGACTGATTGCTTTGTTATGTGAAGGCCAATTTAAGAGGAAAATCAGGATTTTGCACAAGGGAACTCACAGTTCACCTTAAGTAGACTATGCCCAAAGGACATTGGAGGCTTGAAGCAGAAAGTGATTAAGGCTGTTTTGTAAAGGATAATTGGCTTCATGGCCATCACAATGATGTGAGCAACAGAAAGTACTTTATTTCACAAGATTCATTTGGACTTTAAAATATATAACACACATTAAACAACAGAGTTAAAATTGCTATTTGGGGATAATAGTCTTATTTGTCCAAGAGAAATATGCTATATGAGGTTTTCTGGTATTTCTGATGAATGAAGACTAAAAATAAACATTTTCATTATTCAAATTAAAGCCTTGATAAGTTATTATGTAATCTCTTAAGAGTATTTATCAAGTTATTTTATAAAATTAAACTAGCTTATTTTGTTTACAATTCCTTTCCGTACCTCTTTGTAGAAAAGTGGTACATAGAAAATAATAAACTAATACTCTTAATGATAGAAAATTTAAATTAGTTTTTATCTAAAATCCCACCAAACATGTGTAATTAATTTACTTGTACAGAAAAACAACTACAAATACATGTCATTAATAACTGATATCAGTACACTTTAAAACTGAGAAAATTTTAAGACAACCTGAACATGTCATATGACGTTAGTAAATACGGTAAAAATTCTACCAATTTTATAAAAGTCTATTATATTAAACTATAAACTTGTTATACTTTTAATGCCTATGTGATAAATGAATTATAGGCTTTCCACTACTGTGATATTGAATACACCTCTTTATTTCACAAGATGAATTATAACCAAGTATAACCATTTATTTGTGGAGCAAAATATAAATTAAATATCGCATTTTTAAATATAGATTTTTTAAAGTTGCCAATTTTATTTGTTTACCAAATTCTGTATCCAAGTAGGGTCCTTTATTTGCTAAATTTGAGTTGACCATGGTCATCTAATCTTACTGCTTCAGAGTAAGCTATAAAGGCTAGATATCAAGATGAATCGGGGAAATTCCTTCAATATTTTTAACTTGGAAGCTCACAGAATCTACTTTTGGCTGGTTTATTATTGCTGGTTTTATATTTTGACTTAATGGCTGATCATCTCAATACAACAACACTAAACTTCATTTGAAGAAGGTATTGGTAGTCCCAGGGAACTGCTTCTACAAAGTGAAGTTAATTACTCAAATACATTTTGATAAAAAGAGTTTATGTATATTATCACATTTAAATAAGCTACACAAAAATATATACTATGTTCCAATGTAGTAGATAAGATATAACTAGAATTTTAAAAGTTATAAATATGTCTGAAATGACACATTCTGTATAACAATGTCAATATATTTAACTTTAAAGAGAATTCTTAAAGTATATAGATAAATGAATACTTACACATTTAAAGGAAGCTGTTTCATGTAAGCTTTATGACCCAGTGTTTCACATATCTTTCTTTGCTACTCTACCCCTAGTGTTTATACATGTTTAAATTAAGATCACATGACACAGAGGGATTCTACAAAAAACATCTGCTTGGGTAAAACACAGAGACAGTTAAGGGGATTTACATTTGACCTCTAGTGTTGCCACATTTTTTTTTGTAATAATCACATTCACATAGGATTATGTTCTTTAAAAAAGAAAAATTTCAACTTTAGAGGAATTACTTTGAATCACAAATTCTAAAGCTAAAATCAATCCCTAGAAGGGTAGTAATGTAGACATTTTCATGATAAAAATATGAAATTATTTAAATGTAACCAAGTATACTCTTTAGTTGCTGGAAAGCACAGTTCTAGGCAGTTGAAAGATACTTATAAATTCTGAAGAGTATTTTACCTTCCTATAATATAAGACTTCAAATTGCAACCTTAACTCTCTCCCTGGAATGTAAAGAAACATCCCCTCTCCCAATTTTCCAGCAATCATCTGTACTATGTATAGTATTACTAAATGACAAATGAATACTTATTATTCTATTTACCAAAAAATTTAAAAAAACACATTGCCTTTCAAAGCCATGAATAGTAAAGAGAATAGAGACTACCAGCTAAACTTCTATCATTTAATAACTGCTCACTGTAAGTACAGTTCAATAGTCTTCCTTACTGAATTCTTTGCCCATAAACACTCAAAAACACATGGCCAATTGACAAAAGAAACATAGCTTCAAAAGAAAATCTCCTAACTAGATAAAAGCTATCTGTTAAGAATGCAAGAGGTTAAACATTGCTGAAATTGCAAGATATTTTCTCAGCCCACGCTTTCCAGTTACATTCAATTACCAACAACAGTAGTGACAATAATACAAGCTAATACTGTTTTATTAAATCAGAGCTTCCCATTTAAATCCACCTCTGACCTCTGGGGCCAAAGAGAGGATGAAATTTCTAGTCCAAAGCCCCCTGTTCAGAGATACACATGACCTTGGGGGTGTCGAATTTAGAGAGACTGAGTTTCCCAAGTTTTATTTGGATCAAAAATAAGAACATATCCAAATGAACCCAGCATGCTATAAATTCTCTTATCCTGCCACCTTTCTTCTAAAAATGTTAAGGAGTGCTTTGCACTTTGCAGCCTATTCTTTAGAAACAAGAGGTGATATTCATTAAGTGAGACTAGTTCCGTTCAAATACATTTTAAGATTGCAATTGTTTGAAACAACTTGTTGGTTGATATTTATAATTTACCAACATATTTTGGAACCTTGTATGAGGCATGCTTGAAATGTTGCTCTACAAATATTTGTATTTGTAAAGCAAGATGTAACATGATGACATTAACTTCAGACACACACAGAGGCACAGAGCCCTCAACAACCCCCCCCAAATTTCAATGCATAATCAGCAGATGATCTCGTCATAATGACAACAATAATTAGGAAAATAATGACAGCAATCATTGCCAAAAGTCTCATTTCATGTTATAACAATAATCATAACTTGCTTTAAAATTTTTGTATCACAGTCTGCATGACTCCCCCATTTACAATACATTGTAACAGTGTTATTTTGCTTACCTTATTTGAACAGCCAAAAAAAAAAAAGTCTCTCAAAAAGATTCCTAAATAGTGTGTCGGTAGTAGTAATGATATTTTAGAAAAAAAATTAAAGATCGCCTTAGCTGGGAGAAGATGAAAATAGTTTGGTTTCAAACTATAGAAATCTCCAAAGTCACGCTTGACTGGGCGCCCAGGTGGCCAACAGAGGACTCGCTCCCACGTCCGACCCCACACTCCTTTGTCAAGTTGATACGGTCCAGCTGGTGAAGCGGGTCCCGCCAGGCACCGAGGGTGCAAGAGGGCGTTGCCTCGAGATGCTGGAGCAAACGGTCCGCTGGCGTCCCCGGATGCCCACCGACAGCACTGTGGACAGCACCAGCTCCGCTCACCTCCAGTTTGTCTCAGTCACTGAACCAGGCTGATTCTCGCGCCTCCTCCCTAAGCCGGAGCTGCTGCCACTCAAGCCGGGCGCCCCGCCCCCACCCTCTGACGTCGCGCGTTTGCATCTCAACTCCGGGACAAGTGCAGAGCCGCCCCCGAGGGGAACTGGGCTCGGGCTGGGTTCGGCCGAGGCTAATCAAGAGGCTGCGAAATCCAGGCTCCGGAGCCCCCTTAGCATCCTTGCACTTCCCGATCCACTCACCACGGGTCCCGCAGAAACTGGCCGCTTCTCGGCGTCGCCGCTTTCCCTCGCCTTCTCCGGAACTGCCGTTGCTGTACGCTCTAAAGATCGCTGCTGCCAAGGATCGGAGATGGGGCGCAGGGAGGGGGCAGCAGAGCAGCAGGAGGAGAGGTGCTGATGAGGCGGTGAGGATGAGAGTGGGGGATCCGAATGAATCTATTCAACCCCTCCAAAAAAAAAGGGGGGGGGGTAAAAAAAAACACAAACACAAACAAACAAAAAACCCAGATCCTTTTGATCTGCCTGGTCAAACTTTCCGGGTGTGTCTTATCTAGTTTATTTATTTCGTTATTTATTTATTTAACTGGAAAGGAGGTATCTGGTGTCCCTGGTGTTTGTCCCCTTTCCTTGGTTCACGGAGCTGCTGGAGGGAGTCGCCACTGCAGAAACTTGCTTTTGAGAAAAAAAAAATTTTTTTTTCTTGGAGCACTGCAAGAACATGTGAAAGCATGCGAAGCTTATGCCCCTTCCTAAACCACTTTGTGTGTGTGTGTGTGTGTGTGTGTGTGTGTGTGTGTGTGTGTGAGTGCTGCGTGGGATGCATCAGACTGGATGTGTGCTTGTGAAATCTACGCAACCCTCCCTTCCTCTTTAGAGTCAGGAGTTTAGGTGTGAGTTGGAAATTGAAGGGTGAAACAATTTTCTGAGGATGAAAATAGTGAAAGTTCTCAGCTTCAACTTCCACTGCCAAGCTCTTGAATATTGCTAAGCTGCAATATTTATTATATATAATAGACCCATTGTACAATGAAAAGTGGAGTGTCAGAGAAGCACTTACTTGCCTTTAGGGCGTCTCCAAATATAGATGATGTTTCTTGTCCCACCGAGGATGAGGTCCTTTTCTGCACAAGCGTCAGATTCCTGATACTTCTACTTGCAAACAAACACTTTCTTGGAACTGAAAAATGATCAGTCATCTCAAAGAAATGTCATTAGATACTACCCACTTGTCCCACCTTCAGCCCTCAATAATTGTACTCTCCGGCTGGAGCAATAGCACAGTGGGTAGGGCGTTTGCCTTACACTCAACTGCCGGGAATTTGATTCCCAGCATCCTATATGGTGCCCTGAGCACCACAGAGGTAATTCCTGAGTGCAGAGCCAGGAGTGACCTAGAAAGAAAAAAAAATTACTCTCCACCACCCCTCAAAAAGCACTTAATGAAAACAATCTTAAGTTGTATAAAAGGTAGTCTCAAGTTGTTTATGCAAGCATTTTCCTAGCATTCAAGTATTTTTTTTCCCTCATGAAAATATGTACATAGTGGTAGGTGTCATCGATTTCCTTCAGTCTGACATTATTTGTACTGAGGCAGCTCAATAGTAGTTTCAAAGACTGGTGAAATGAGTAAACATGCATATTATCCTATAAGGAAATATAGTGATACATTTGCTTCTCTGCAGTGTTTAGGAGACTATTTGAGGAACCTTGTTTACTTTGTGGCATATGTGCCCTCATTTCCTTCTTTATTAGTTAATCAAACATAAGTACAATTGAGAATTCACACACTATGTTTATGCAAAAACTATGTTTTTCTTCTGGCAAGCAATCTTTTTTTTTTTAGCTTTATTGTAAAATATTTTAGACCTCAACGCTTCCCCAATTGAAATATTCAAATTCCTGGGAAAATCTTTCCAGCACATCTAAACCGTAATGTTTGCCCCCCACGTAATCTGCAATATTTTCTTTTTCTCTGACAGCTGTTGATTTATATCGCAAATATCACATTTTTTTGGTCTTGCTTCTTAAACGTATAGACCTGCTCACACACCTACTGTACAAGTAGCTCAGTTCTCAAAATGATTTTAATCATGGTTCAGACTCTATAGAAGCACATGAAATATGTTAGACGGGGGCAGATGGGTGTTCTATGATTATAATTACACTAGTCAGCTAAATAATCTGTACTTAGAATAATCAAAGAAGCTATGCCATCTTTCTTATGGAAAGGCCATATTTGGGTTTACTTCAGCCAATTTTCCAAAATGTCAGACAAATCAAGATTTGATGTATGTTTCTCAACTTCTTAGCAAGTTCCACCAAAGTCTATGCCATTTGTTATTTAATAGACACTACTTCCAGTTCACCTTAATGACCATATTGCTTTGGGCTGTAAAGTCAATTAGGGCGGGCATCATATTCAAAAGCCTAAGGGGATAAACCTGGAAAGCAAATCTATAGTTCAAATATGGAAAGAAAATCCAGACCATTTTCTCTTTGTTAGTGAGTGGGAAAGAAAAAAAAGAGAACAGAAAGAAATGGAATGATTCTGACAGGCATGCAGGGACACATGCATCTGAAAAGCATGGGGAAGATGGACCTACCTAGGGGAATTCTAAGTATTATTTGGTTCTAATTGGCTGTGTGACCTCTAGAGCAAGTTAATTAAACTCTTTAATCACACTCATCATTTGGAAAATTGGGGGTTTCAAAATTATTTCTAAAGTGTTTTATATACCTGTCATTCTGTGATTTATATTAGAGTTAAATTTTTTTCATATTATATCTGAAGATGTTAGAATGATCTCCTTCAGTGAGATAAATTGTCAATGCTAAAATGGTGAAAATAGTACCATACATAGTGTGAGAGGTAGGGAAAGTGAACAAGTGAAAAAGACTTCAACTAAGAATTAATAAATAAATCAAATTTAACCCAGCTATGATGAAATTAATAAGAGATTGAGTATTAAAATGTTAAATAAGCATATTCCAAGAAAAAAATCTTTAAAGCTGAATGGCCAACACCTACTTGAGGATTTTAATTTAGGTAATTTACATGAACATATTAAACTGTAATATATAGAAATTATGAAGCTCATTGTGTTATTGTCTTATGAGTGTATATTTATATTTACACGAGACATTTACCTTTTAAACAGATTGCTTTTCTGTTCTCTATTTTGGACTAGTGTAGTGTCATCAAATTTTATAAGCTCCTTTTCAAATTATAATTATTCTAATGAATATGAACTACATTAGAATTATAAATGTTCTAAATATAATGACAGTGCATGGTTAATTTTTCCTTTGGATTAATTCTTTGAAAGCTTGTTATGAGTGTAAAACATGCTTATTTTGAAATAAAAAAAAATTCACTACATAGAATATATATATACATATATATATACAGTACTTACTTAAGACATCATATTAAATTTCACATTCAGTTCTTATGGAAGAATAATTTGATTTTACAGTTTACAAGTACCAAATATATACCTACCTTACATTATGTTACTCTGACACTTAAAAAATATTTCCCTTGCCTTCCTTCTTTCTCTTTTTTAAACTTATACTTATATTTTATTTTAGTAAACTTTAATAGAAGAATGTGTTAATGTCCTTTCTGTTATAGCATATTTAAACACATTATTAAATGTAATTTTGTTTAGTAAAATTCTTAGCTAATCCAAATTTGCAGTCTAAATAGTAAATGAAGTGTGTGCGTATAGGAATTATACACCAAAAATTGTTTCATATGTATATATTTTTAAATATGGACATAATATAGAATATAAGAAAGAATTTCAGTAGTAATAGACAGGCTATCAATTACAGAATACCATTTACACACAAGTACACACAAATACTTTCTTGACCTAACTGGTGTTTCAATACATAGTTTCCATGAGATTATATAGTTTAATTGTTTTAATTCTCAATATATATTGGAAAAATAGATATTGCTTTATTTTAGTCTCTATTATATGTTATAGCACCATCATTGTTCTGATTTTGAATGAGAAATTGATTATTTTTATAGAATCAAATTCAGTTATTTTCTTACTACTACTCAATACACGACGACAAAAACGAAGAATGACTACTTTTTAATGTTCAATTATGAATACATGATAAAAATTTCTTCAAGGATTAGAAATCTTTTTCAGAAACACTTTTCTTTGATAAAAACTTAAATGCTTTATATCCAAATTTTTTGTATATATATATATATATATGCTCTTTATTTCCCATGTTATACATTGACTGTTGTAACTCCTCACAAACATAGACATATGAATACTATAAGTAAAACATACAGGTTAAGATAGCAGCTAGAACATGTTTCCAAAAATTCTGCTTAACATGGAAATTAAAATTTTATAAAATAAATCATTTTTAGACTTGAAGCAATAGATCTATTAACTATTGTGAATAATCTGAGGTTAATTATATCAATATTTAACATCAATAATTTTAAGTCAAAGTCAACTTCTAAATTTGAATTCAGAATTAAACATAATGGACCAAGAAGATGGTACAAGATCTGGAATACACATGCTGCTCTTAAGAGTCCTGGGTTCCATTCTCTCCACCACATGGTCCTCTGTGTACCACAAAGTGGACCTACCCACCCCCTATAAAACAAAAACCCAAAAAAGTCTTTACTGTTGCAGA